GCGTATTGCAGTTAGTGTACCCATGGAGGTATGGTGTACGAAACAAATTGATATGTTCTGGATCCACCGCTGGATACAGCGAGTGATTGTAGACTTCATAATATTCTCACTGCATCGCGGCTAATCAAATGCGGAGAGTTCAGGGTATTATTATAATTTCAAAGAAAGATTAACGCGAGTAGGCCTACTCAGAAATACTTATTACTGTAATAAGAATGTAAAATACTGTACCTGTATTAGGAGGCAAAGTAAGGAGACGGTTGCTAGTTTAGCCAGTTTTTCATGAACAGCATCCAGAATAATGTCACTACACCCCTGTAAATATTTAATAATGATTCACCATTTACTAAAATAAACAACAATGCTTACAAATCTAAACGGTAGCTTTTTAACATAAATATTATTTGAAATTCTCAAACACATTTCGACACCAAGTGGCGGATCTAGGATTCAGCAATGGGGGGTGGATAATGCGATTTGCGAAGCACGACGCGGGGGAGGGCGGCGGTAGTGTGGTTTTGACAAGGGCACAGATCTGTTTTGAAAGGTGAGGGGGGACATTTTGTGAAATAGTACCGGTAGCTCTAGATGACCGGAAATGACACTTTTATATAGTAAAATTCATCGTCATCACATCACCATTATATAGTGAAAATGAAGCGGCAAAAAATTCTCATGATTTTCGGCAACCATAGATATCTAATTAAATGTACAATAGAAAATAAATATTAAAAACATTGTCTTTGATGAACTTAATTTAGGCCTACCTACTTCGAAGTCATTAGTCCGCACAAGGGCTGAGGTGGGAACATTTGGGGAATTAGTACCTCTAGATTACCGGAAATTACACTCTGTTATAATAAAATTCATCATCATCGATCAAACAATTGTCATTGATGTATTTTTAATTTGCTTTACCATGTGCCGAAAACCAATCTTATTATTATTATTATTACACGCCTTTTCCCATACTTCTCAAATTATAATAAAGGCACGCGCACAAGAGTCGTGTATTACAAGTACACTAATTCAGATGTTTGTGGGCAGAGATAAAGTACCCGTTGTACAGCACACTTTCGTTAAAACCTGGGTCATTTATGCAGTTCATTTCAACAATTTTCAGGCATCTTCTTGACTTATGATATTATTACATTGCGGACGAAAAGAGGTACCAAACCCTACCCTCTTAACAATATTTTGGGACGTGTTCCCCTGTCCCTCCTTGATCATGGGTTTAGGGAGAGACATTTCCTTCCATTTGAGGTTTTTTGGAATTAGTTGACGGCTAGACGCTCTTGGATGACATCTGAAAAGAAGTTAAGCTTAAAATAGAAAGTGTATGTTTTACGAGAGTATAGCCTACTACATGTAACATGTATACATGAGAAGCATACACACAAGACGAATGATTATATTTTGTTTTCGAGGTCATCGAAGGGGGGTGGCTAGCCAACCTATTCACCCCCTAGATCCGCCACTGACACCAGATACTATTCTTGCCCTTTACTCTTACAGACTCTGACACCCAACATCGAATGCAATTCTACTTAAAGTGTTATGCATTTGTTTCCATAATATGTGCTTCCCAGACCAATTTGTACCCATATAAAATATGTCATATCACCATCTCTTTGTCTTCCTATTCAGATTCTGGTGGGTAAAGCTACCTTCCCAATAACTTGAAAAAATAGGAATATAACAAAATATAGGAGTGATAAGAAAAGTCCACCACCGTAGTTTCAAACTCGCCACATTTTGAAAGCAAGGGGTTGCCGATCCGCCTCAGGAAACCCTCGATCTCATGAAAATAGAAAGAAAATATGGTTTAGAATGGAGGAAGGTAAAACAAGCCCTTGAAGAAAGAAGGCGAGAAAATTGGGATTTTTTTTTGGAGTATAATATAATATCATGAGTGAATATTTGATGGCGAACCTTCGACTGGGACAAACCTTCTTTTAAAAACATTGGTTGCTATTTAATTAACCTCTTTGTCCATTATCATCTCTACGTACACAATTACCCGCCCACCTCCTTTACCTTCGCCATGATGTATTTAACTTTTATTTTGTACATTTCGGTATTATTAACTTTGAAATATTTTTTAACATGTAGCATTTTTATTTCTAAAACGTGCAGAAATGAGTTTCTATATTTTCTTGTTGATGACCGTTTTTCAGAGCCATAAGTAATACAAAAGCTTCATTGGAAGATGTGTACACCTACCTACAAATAAAGTGTTTAAGTAGTTTTGATTCTAAACAAGACCTAGTCCTATTTTTGAATGTTGTTTTTCATCTGTACTGTCTATACCTAGAGACTACTTTCTCAATCTGTTCTTTTTGTACTTCAATTGACCCTCTGTTTGGTAATTTTGTCATGAACGTATTGTATTCCTTATGTATTTTCTGTGCAATCGTCTTGGTCTGTTTCTTCAAACAGTTTAGTTGAACCTGAAAATCCCGCTAGTATTGATATCTCTCTATTTATGATCTAGACTTTTTAACACATCCTCCATAGATTCTATGAAGATTTATGGAGATTTAATTATATACTTTTTTTTTACAAAGAAAACCCAGCATGTACAGATATGTCTGTCCACCAAAGTCAAAGGAAATTGGAGAACGAAAAATTAGCACCATTGGCCAACATAAAATGTGGAAGAATGGATGCAGTTGCAAGAAAAAGCAGCAACACAGACATCTTCATGCTATTTAGGACCATGAAAAATTTAAGAGCTTGGGTTTCACGCCATTAAATATGAATTTGGAATCCGGGAATATTTATTTGTGTTACCCTCTGGAAGTACCATATGCAATGTATTCCATATATGAACGATGTATGGCAAGTATGATCTTGATCTATTTGAGTTAAATAGGTACCACTTATGCATGATGTGAGCTGTTGGATGCTAGACGAGTACTTCGATGGAACACTCGGCGTTCAGGAAGAGAGTCCTGAAGAGAGTTGTTGTTCCAGGGTAATACGGACAAGAACAATTAGAACACTTATGAGGCGACGATGATGAAAGTGTAGAGATTTAAATTATTTTGGTTGAATAATCTTTAATGCCCTACGATGGATTTTGTCCAGTAGCTTTAAATGGGTTTCGCCGCAGACGTCCGGAAAAGTGTTGCATATCCTATACTTTCCTACGCTTTTAGAAGGGAACTGGATTTGCCACATTGTTGTTCAGAGGAATTGTGGAGGTTATAATCTGGATCTGGAAGGATATTTCTTATCTCCCGGCCTTGAAAAGAGCAAAGGTAGGAGGAACGATGGTCAGTTAAAATGAGATCCTCTTGAAATATTGATTCCTGAAGTAATTAAGTACCATTTTCTTGCTTTTATTTTAAAGTTATGCGTAATTGTCCTTAATGATTTGCCCAAATACTTAATTTATTCCGATATTTTTAAAAGCTTAAAAAACTTGTTAGTCTTTAAAGCCATGACAAAACTTCAATTAATGTACGCAATGGCCTTTTTATATTTGTTAATTCAAAACATGAAGATATTTAATGGTTGTGGTAAGCTCTCTGAAGCAGGCTCAGTCTCTGTGTTGATTTTCATCCAGAATTCGTTGATTCTATTATGGATTATATTTGTAGCATACTGTCACAGTTATCCATGACTTTTAAATGAACAGCTCGTATATGTATTGTTAAGAATGTTTTAGGCACAAATGACAGTAATGAAGACGACGTATTCGTTATCGTTTTCGTAAGGTTGAGAAATCTCCCTATTGTCTATTTCTACTTACGAGAATGTTATTTTTGGGAGGTCAATTTGGTCAGTTGACATGATACTTGTAACTGCAACATTTGGTACTTGTTTGGATTTGGTCACACACTATATATATATTTTTTTCTACCAGTTGTCATTCTGCCATCGTCTCGTCTCATTGTACTTATTCTATTTTTTTGCTCTCATTTTTGTGCTCTAATTTAGTCCTCTACCATTCTCAAGCAAAGTTTATTTTTTTTTTCAATTTATACTTTTGTTGAGGTGATTGTCTTAAACTTTCCTAAGCTCTATTTTGTTTTTCCCCAACTCTTCAATTAACGTTTTCTCAGTTGTATACTCAGTCTTTCTTCCCTAGCTTTATTCTCTTTCTGTCTGACTCTTCAAAAACTAACTTGCCCTTCTCAGTTAGCCTATTTTAGATCTTTCTTTCTTAGTCTTATTAATTCTTCAACTACTTCTACCATTTTGCTGGGTTGAATTACCACTTGCTGTCTTTAGACAATTTCTATATCTCTATCCAGAAAAGCGATTGGAACTCTTGTAAAGGTTGAAATTTTATGTTTAATCATTTTCTTGCAGATTTCTTACTATTGTGTATCTTTGCTTCTATGATCACATCTACCTTCATGAATTTCCCCAGTCCTCTACCTACAATACCTCTCTGAAAACTGAGTATGATGTCATTTGATTCCTTTGTCTTTCAGACTTTTCCATATCCAGTATAAAGACTAGAATCTGTTGTTCAGCAAATCCTAGTAACAGCATGGTCTCCTTTTTCATTTTTCCGAACACCAAACTTTCCTATGACCGCTAATTCCCCAAATACTTCTTTGAAATCTCCGATTATAATGTTGTATTCTGTCTTACTTTCTACTATCACCTTACTGACGACTTTGTACACTTTCTTCTACTGATTTATTATTATACACTTGAATTTTGTTTAATTCTTGATACATAGGCCTATAGAGAGAAATACCTATATACCTGACATTTAATTTTCTTCACATTATCTTTAATTTTGGATTAGAACTCAATTCCTTTTTTTCACACTGTTTTTTGTTTTCCCTTTGAGTTTCACTACACCATCTTCTTCTTTAGTTGTTTCACAGAGTCCAATTATATCTCATTTTAAGTTTTGTTCATATATTAATAAGTCTAGTGATTCTTCTGTCCTCGGTGTTCTGGCGTTGCATGTTCACAGCTTGCTTTTGTCTTTTTCAACTATGAGCTCTAGAGTAATTTCTTGATAATCTGCCATTATTATTTTTTGTTCAAATTTGCTTGAAGGATTTCTGCCATATCAACACGTTGGCTAGACTTATTTTCTCTTCCTAAGGAGGTTAATATAAAATACTAAGCAGTTATTTGCGTCTTCTGGGCTGGAAAGCCTTTTGAGTACACCTATTGACCTCGCTGGGTAACTCAGTCGTGAAGCTAAGTTATCCAGGTGATATGCGAATTACAATTATATGTCAATTATGTTTCCGTGGACATGGGTGGTGCTAACTGGAGAGAGGAAATTATTTGGGAAAAGGTAGACTGATGTTATTGCCACCTGTACCACAACCAAGCTATGATAGATAAAGCGTATGAGAATAACAAGAGCATGCAGTATAATCGGTGAAAATGAACATAGCATAGCGAGTTTGCTCATCATGCAGTCTTACCACCCTGATACTGTACCCAATTTGTTTATTGTCAGCATTAGGCCTTATAACAAGATGAGATTAAACCTTTGATCGGTTACAAAATAACAAACTTACACAGAGATATGGACAAAGTCTATTAAATACGGAAACCTAAAACAATGTAGAAAGACAAGTAAAGCATAATACCATTTTATTATAGACTGGGAGTTCATAGAAGTTATTTAAGTGAAGAGACCCAAGTTGTTTGATGATCTGGTTATGTATAATAGGCTTATACGTAGGTACAGTAAGTCCAAAATTCAATAACTATTGTTTTTGCCATGTGACAACCTGTACAAAGCAGCCTGGATGTGTAGGAAGATCACAGAATATATGGAAAATGTATTTATTTGTGAGAGATACGGTACGTGGACTAAAATGGCAGGACATAACTTTCAGGAGGATACTTTGGACTAAACAATTTTCAAACCAATCCCCACCAGGGCCCTTTGGCCCCAGCCTAGATGCTCGCTTCGTTCGCGTACTGGATTTCTTACCTTATGAAACTCCTTCTCCTACACTTCAAAAACGTTCCGCCGCCGTCGATAGTAGAATACTTGAGCAACACTATGTGTTTGGGAGAACTCTGTGTTTATTGTTAAGGGCCCAGTACAGAAAATGTACAGTTTTTTTATTTGTTGGTCGAAGGTGAAAGATAAAGAGATTGATAAAGAGAAGAAGGGAAAGAGAAAAAAAGAGGAGAAAGTGAATGTGAAAATGTAGAATGAAGTAGGGAAAGAAGAGGAGAAAAGAAACGAATAGGCAATGACGTAACGAGAGGATTGGGTGGAAAATGTTGAGGCCCAAGTAGTAAAACGTTTCGATTTACGAATCCGAGGGGACGGTTTTATGTGGATTCGCCCTCCATAAAATTCTTGTATATTAAGGCTGAAAAGACTACAAATTTAGTGATAAAAAAATCAACTATTGCTCATCAATTTGCTGAACTGGTTATGCTTTGTGCTGGTTCTTAGTAGGAGAAACCCCCTGGGGCCTCGTTGGATCCCCAATAGCTAATAAGCATAATGCCACTGATTAGAAAGAAGAAAGATAAAGAAAAGGAAATGGAAAAAGAAAAGGAAAGGAAAACGAAAAAGAAAGAAAGATAAGGAAGAGGAGAGAAAAAGAATCAGAAAAATAAACATGAGGAAGAGGAGGAGGAGAGAGAGAGAAGAAGAGAAAAATGTATTACTTTTGTCGGTTAAGGGCTTTGTGGTACGTTACCGTAGATATTTTGTTTATAATAGTTCCAGTTGGTTTTCTTATCATACCTTAGCGTGCTTTATAACATTTTCTTGTCCACAACCGGCTGTCACGTCCGTCGAGCAGCAAGAATTCGGAATTTGGTTTGTTTTAAATGGTCTGTCTCCATATATTCCATTGTACCAGTCGCTAGGCTCTCGTACACCACAGCAACCTTTCTAATAATGATAAAACAAAATGGTATATATTATAACGAACATCAGAGGATTAAGGCGATAAAAAAGATTACTGTGGTAAAAAAGATTACTGTGAGTCCGTACACTCGTCAAGACACATTTTAAAAAGTCAATTTCTAACGCAATCTATTAATAAAATTACATCACTTTCGTAGCAAAAGCACACTGAGCCCCGTCGCAGCTGCTTTCGAACCCTTAACAATAGCGGGTCTAGGTTCCGCCAAGGGCCCAAGTGTGCTCGAGTAGCATAGCACAAGAGCAGGTCGGGGAACCTTGAAGCTACAGACTTTAACGTATTTAGATGTCTTATGTGTGTACGACTATTTAGTCATATAAAATGAATGATTTAAAAAAAATAATCACTTTTAAAAATCTATTACCCTAGTGGCAGTATCCTTTTCCAAACGTCTGCCAAGGTCCTCTTTTAAAATTTCCAATTTAAACGATAATAATATAACTATATCGACCAATCTGCTCAGCAATAAACATAAATAATAAAATTAGATATTCGATAGCTTACACTTAGGCCCTGTGTTATTGCTCTATTTTAAGATTCATTTTGATTTATAGAACGAAAATCTTCCTCGGAAAACGAATATGTTTATTTTTCAATCTGTAACCGATAAGAACGAGATTGATATTTAAATGCCATCCTGATTTACATGTTAAGGTAAGCTCTCTAATCCCCGACAACCCGAAACCTGGAAATTTCTACACGATTCCTAAGTTACACAAGCTTCCTAAGCACATCGAAAACAAAACTAAATCTACTGCTCATCCTTACAACGTTTCTGATCTCATCTCTAATGGTAATGGTGGGATATTTGTAGTGCGCCTTCCACAATAAAATCGTCTCAAGGCGCCGAAGAAAAGGACCCCATGGTTATTTTTTAACTAGCCAAATCTCTGAACATCACCCCTCCGGGTAGACCATAGGCACCATCACTGAATTTGTTTCAGGATTTGTTGATAGCCTCCTTAATCCCCTTCTTTGCAACATCCTCAGTTACATTCAAGATACCACTTATTTCCTCCGAAAACTCAATCGTATTCCCAGCCCTCTTCCTTAGAATTCTATTCTGATCACTATGGATACTAATATACCCCATGACGAAGGGCTTATGGCTTAAACAGTTTCTTGACTCTTTCCATCCCCTACCGTACACGGACGACATCGTGTCTATTGTTAAATTCATACTCACACATAATAACTTTATGTTCAACGACAAATATCTCCGTCAACTTGAAGGTACCGCTATGGGAACAAAAATGCCGCCCCCCCTTACGCCAATGTGCCCCTGTCTCTTATACACATCTAGATGTGTATAAGAGACAGCTGGTTATACTGACGACATACCCGGTATTTATGGCCACAAGGAGAGGAATCCCTTCAATTATTCATTTATAATTTCAACGAAGCTATCAATAATATCAAATTTACGTCCGAACAGTCCATCTATCCCGCCATCAACCAAATTCCATTTCTGGACACTTTAACTCGCATCAATAACAACCAACTCTCTACGACTTTGTACACAAAACCCACAGACAGTCACAAGTACTTGGATTTCAACAGCTCCTATCCTACTAGCATTAAAAGGATCCATAGTATATAGCCAATACGCATTAAACATACTGCGGATTTCAAGTTTCTGAAAACCCACTTACCCGACCTCAAACCCTTCGAAAATCCCCATCTTAGCTAAACGACAGCCCCCCTCCCCCAACCCAAATTTAAACGTATCCTGACTTCTTTCCATCTCCCTAACATCCCTTAAATGGTCACCGTCCTTGCAACAACTCACGGTGTAAGATCTGTGATATTCTCATTACGAGCAAATCTATCAAGTTCCCTCCCACCACCTCTCGCATGCAATGCTACCAATGTTGTATACATAATACATAATCGTATGTTCCAAGTGTGATCGTGGTTGCTATGTCGGGGAGACAGGGAGCAAATTTAGACTTAGGTGTAACAGTCATAAGAAATAGATTCAGGATAAAGCAATAGGGTTCCCTGTAGCACAACATTTTAATCTTCCTAACCACTCTGTTAATGATAAAAAGTCTCTTACTGACAGACGTTCTGCTGAATTTCAGTGGATTATGAAACGGTTAAAGGCCAACTCAGACAGCAGCCCGACGCGATTTGTTGTCGCGTCGGGTCTGTGTGAGTTGAACGCAGACGCGATGGTGTGCGTCGGGAGCAGTCGCGTAGTACAATATTAAACATGTTGAATATTTCTCACGACGGCTTAAGACTGTCCCCGACGATAAATCGGGTCGGGCTGCGTCGGCCGACGCTGTCTGAGTTGGCCTTTACACACACAAAACTGGTATTAACAAAGATCTAGGCTTCATAAGGTTATTCTTTCACTACATAAGATATGTGTGGTCCTATACCTATATTAATAATAGGTATAATAATTTATAATAATAATAATAATAATAATAATAATAATAATAATAATAATAATAATAATAATAATATCTATTACAATAATAATGATAATAATAATAATAATAATTATTATTATTATTATTATTATTATTATAATCACATTCATATAATCATTATAACTAACAATATTGTAACTATAATAATAATATTAATAACATGTAATAATTTTGGTCATTTATATAGACCCTTTGTCACTGTTTTAATTACAGTGTGCTTTCAGTTATTTTGACTGCCGACATTTTGTTTATTTCGCTCTGTTTTTTTTTTCATAGGCCATTTCACCGCCAAGTGCTACCGTACCGACAGTTTATTAGTTAATACATGGACCTATTAATCACTTAACTAATTGCGTGCCTATTGTCTTACCATATATCTTGGTTAATTCCTTATAGTTTTTATTTTGATCTGTTCTGTACTTCTCATTCATACGTGGAAACACAGAAGGACACAGGCGTGTCCGAAATATTCGTCTTGAAATAAATTTAATGTCTCTATTATGTCATCGTATGCTATCGTTTCATTTTCGTATTTGCTTATATTCATATATTTCTGTGAGACATAAGTTATGACGTTCGCCGTGTATGCGAAAGTTCCTGGGTTCGAGTCCAGGTGGAAACTGAGTTTTTTTTTTGGTTCAAGATTCCTCTTCTGCTACGTTTCAATAGAAAAAGAGGTCTCTAGTAGGAATCGAAACAGCAATCTCCCGCTATCTCTGCGAGAGTCATACCACTTGGACCAGAGAGGCCCCTACGATAGCATTAAGATCTAAGACCACTAGTCTCTCTACCTTTATACAACACGAGAGCTCATTTTTAAGCAACGTAAGCTTATAGGTAGCAGCTAGTAAATCATAGTAAATAATATTCAAATCAAGTTGCTGCTTAGCACTGGGAACTGGCAAATAATGTATAAATCAAATAGATAATAATACAGTGCTCAAATATATAGGAACATGATGTTATAAATCATAGTTCATAAACATAGTTCATAAACGAAAGTTCCTTATTATAGTTTATGAAAAAATGTGTCTAGTGGTGGGAATGGACCCGCAATCTATCGCTATCTCGGAGAGCGTCATACCATGTAGACCACTGAGGTTCGTACGATATCATCAAGGATCAAATAATGTATAAATCAAATCATGTTCCTATATATATTTGATTACTGTATCATATTCTATTTGATATAAAGCCGTTAACACCGTTAAATTATATATAAATCATCAAAGAAAGGTAAATACAGTGTTCGAATAAAGGACATAAATACATCGTGTAGCATAGCTCTCAACGAATTGTGTTATAAAATGCCTCTGACGGGATTTAAACATGCGACCTCTCGCTGTCAAATCGAACGTCATAACCATTAGACCACAGAGGCTTCATGGTTGAACAGATTCAAATAACGTCAGATACACTCTATTACACGACTGGAAACAATTAATAGCATATAATAAAAATCAAGATATTAG